ATGCCTCCCAAGGCACTGTGTGCCTCGTCTCGGACGACTCTGACTTTGCCAAGGTAATCCTTGACATACACCACAGTGGCTGGAAGGTTGCGGTGGTGAGCAGTCCCAACAGCTGGACGCTTCGACGGCGGAGCGACTATTGGATGGATTGGACTGAGTTCTGTGCCAGCCTGCCCGGCACTGGTACTGCTGCACCAGCCTATTCCTTTCACGGGATGGAAGTCCTCCGAGACAATGTGGATATCTCTGCACATGCCGTTGCTAACAGCAACAGGCGTGTGTGGAGGGATATGAGGAGCAGAGACCATCGCTTCCGGAAGACGTCTGATGACAACTGACCTTACCGCCTGATTTCCCGGGGTGGTGCGCAGTACGGGTCAATCTGGGCACGGCACGGCTTGATGCGGGAGACCCTTCCTTGAAGCCACTCCTCCATCCACGCGCGGCTCGCCGCGCAAATGGCATGGCTGCTACCCCAAAGCCAGCACGTAGATTCAGAGGAGGAAGTTGTGACCCTAAACTGCAAGGCTGCGTCAGCTTCTACAACGTTCTGGGATCAAGCCTGGAATCTCGAGCATTCGTGACCCTAAAGGCGGACTGCCCAGGGCATTTCTGTGAGGTCTTCGGGTCGAGGACTCATGAGGGGGGGGGCAGAAAACCCGAAGCCCTGAAACCCCGAAACCTAGAATCCTAAGCCCTAACCCCAACCGCGAGGGCCCACCTCTTCTGCCCTGCAGCCCTAAGCCCCCCAAGCCCAGACACTTCCCAAAGCCCTCAGCCGTATGGAGCCCTCGACCGGCACAACTGTCCAAAAGATGAGCCTCTCAGAGGGATCTGCGGGGGAGAGCAGGGGTTGTCAGCAGGGGGGGGGGGGGGCTATAAGGCTTGTGAAGTCCTCAGTCTTTGTGCTTTGTGTTGAGATTACGAAAAACGGGGGTTCCTGAGCAGCCTTTTTACCCTCCCGCAGCTGTTCCTGATCAGCTGTGTCGCATTGAGATCGGTCGCAGAGGGGGTTTGGGGTTTGGGGTTTAGGGTTTAGGGTTACTTCCCGAAGCCCTAAAACCAACTCTTCCCCCAGAACCCTAAAATCCCAAACCCAGGGTTCTCGTGGTCTGGGGTTGGAATGTTCCCCCTGATGCTAACAGTCCTTGATAGGGATTATAGGGCCCCCTATTGTTAGTATAAGGGGGAACATCCCAAGTCTACGGTTGAGTCTTGAACAAGCCGCATAGTGGAGTCCAGGGGTACCCTTTGTTGCACTTGTTTTTGTTCAAGGTTTCCCTTAGAATTTATAAAGTAACCAACCTAGAAAGGGTTTAGGGCTTAGGTTTTAGGTTTTAGGGTTTAGGGTTTAGGGTTTAGGATTTAGGGTTTAGGGTTTAGGGTTTAGGGTTTAGGGTTTAGGGTTTAGGGTTACCATGGTTCCGGGGCCTCCAAACTTCTTCACTTCTGACCTTTCAGCAATATCATGGAGGGCCGGTTTACGAAATTAGGGGGTACCTTCTTGGGGTCCTTTTCACAAGGGGATCCAAACCCTAAACCCTAAACCCTAAACCCCAAACCCTAAACCCTAAACCCTAAACCCTAAGCCTACCAATTCGGGGACTCAATTAGGGGTCCCTAATTTTCTCAAAACCCCATGTGGGTCCGAGGTACGGCACCCGCATGGGCTCCGTCTTGCAGCTGTTGGGGCCCCAACTGACGGTCTTCAGGGTTTAGCGTTTATAGGGTTTAGGGTTTAGGGTTTAGGGTTTAGGGTTTAGGGTTTAGGGTTTAGGGTTTAGGGTTTGCTTTGTTCAGACTGTCACATCAACCATGTCGTTCTCAAAATGTTGAAAAGTATGAACCGGTCGGGGTCGTGGAGTCAACATTGAGGGTGTTTTCGACCTTGGCATGGCTTTTGGCGTCTGTGGTCTAAGGACCCTACACCCAAAGCCTTATAATCCCTAAACCTGACAATCCCTAAACCCTAAACCTTTTAATCCCTGAACCTGATAATCCCTAAGCCCTACAACTTACAAGCCCTAAGCCCTACTTGGAGGTTCATCAACCAATTGTAACTGTACTTTTAACCCACGTATGAGCCCGTTATCTGTCCTAACATGGTTATAAGTACCCGAAACCCTCAACCCTAAACTCCAAACCCCTACAGTAAACCCCAAAAAGTTGGAACATCGTTATCCCCATCCCCCACAAGGTAGCCGAAAGGGAATCCCAGCTCTAATCATCCTCAAACCATGTTCCAACTTTCTGGAGTTTACTTTAAGCCCCATGCACCTCCAAAGTAGGGGTTCAGTGTCAAGGTTTAGGGTTTAGGGTTTAGGGTTTAGGGTTTAGGGTTTAGGGTTTAGGGTTTAGGGTTTAGGGTTTAGGGTTTAGGCTTCGGTCTTCAACTTCGAATGCATTCTTGACACTTCGCGTCTGTCGAGTTGTGCCCGAGCGCCCCAAAGCCTTGAAATTCTCAAACCCGAAAAGGGTTAGGGTTTAGGGTTTAGGGTTTAGGGTTTAGGGTTTAGGGTTTAGGGTTTAGGGTTTAGGGTTTCAGGGTTTAGGGTTTCAGGGTTTCAGGGTTCAGGGTTGCAGGGTTTCAGGGTTGCAGGGTTGCAGGGTTTCAGGGTTTCAGGGTTTCAGGGTTTCAGGGTTTCAGGGTTTAGGGTTTCAGGGTTTCAGGGTTTAGGGCATCCGAACAAAACCCGAAAAAACCTCACGAAAACGGCAGGCTCCAGATCTTGGAGCGCCTCCTACAGCCCAGGCGCTGAGGGCCTTAAAGGGGTTTAGGGTTTGAGGCTTAGGGTTCAGGGTTTAGGGTTAGGATTTAAGGCTTAGGCCTTAAATGGGTTTAGGGTTTGGGGTTTAGGGTTTAGGGTTTGAGGCTTAGGGTTCAGGGTTTAAGGTTCAGAGTTGAGGGTTTAGGGTTTAAGGCTTAGGGTTCAGGGCTTAGGCACTTGAGGGCTTGAGGGTTTTTTAGACCAGAAGTTTGAGAGTTCGAGGGCTTGAGGTGTTTAGTACTTTGGGGCTTAGAGGTTGAGGGGTCGAGGGTTTGGCAATCCAAATAAAGCATATGCCCAATGTACACCTCATATCTAAAGCTTCTAGCTTGTGGCGGATGGGTTTAGGAGATTTGGGGCGTTTGAGTAGGCGAGAGGGATCCCATGTGGTTCTTCATTCTATCAATGCGCCGTGGGTTTAGGGTTTAGCGTTTAGGGTTTAAGATTATAAGACTCATAATGAGTGCTCAAAGACCACACAAGTTGCCTGATACAAGAAGTGAAGGGCAAGTTTGGGCTTTTAGGGTTTAGGGTTTAGGGTTTAGGGTTTAGGGTTTAGGGTTTAGGGTTTAGGGTTTAGGGTTTAGGGTTTAGGGTTTAGGGTTTAGGGTTTAGGGTTTAGGGTTTAGGGGATCGCTTCTAACGGTGAACTCTCCTTCATATGGAATCGTCTCCTTGTTCCTTTCCTTCGTTCCATATTAAGTTGACTTGCAAGGAAACGCGCGAAGCCATTTGATATCGAACCAAAGGAAACAGACACGGGGACGAAGCCGCATCAATGTGGGTTTTTAAAGGAGATTCCGGAAGGTTAGACAGGCGGGTGGGGTCCCGAAGGCAAACCCCCGTTAAATTATCGTCTTTATCAGCCGTTCCTATAAGTCCTAAACCCAAAACCCAATTCTACAAGCAGACCGTACCCCTTCACACATGGAAACCTCGAAAAGGAGCCAGATTCCTCAGTCAGCATGTGTTGTTTTACTCAAAGCAAGGGGATACTTAACGAACCATGTGATCTATTTGCATAGTACTGTTCGAGGGGCGTTTAACAAAACAACGCTGTTCGTTATTGTTCTGCAGGAGTGTTGTTTTGGGTCGGTAAATACCCAAAGGAATGTCATGTTCATTCTGGCTCTATGGGGAGTACCTTGGACCCTCAACCCAAACTCTAAACCCCATACTCGGACCCAGACTAGGCCCTTTTTGACTTTTGCTAGGGCTGTTAGGGCTTAGGTTCCCTTTCAAGCCCCTTCAATCGAAAACGGGCACGCTTTTATATTCCTAGGTTACTCTTGGGTCTAGTGTAAACCTCATGTTACTCTACACATCCCAGAACCCTATGCTAGGTAGGCCCTTGGGATATTTTGTTTTGGCATTTTGGGGTTTAAGAGGATCATTTTCAGGAATATTTTCAGAGGGTGACCCTACACCCGAAACCCTAAATCCTAAACCCTAAACCCTAAATCCTAAACCCTTATAAATCCCAGTATATAATTTCTTTCGCAGGCGTGTTGTGGTGCTCCGCTTCGAGGGCGAGGCCGTAATGGCGACGGCGCGGGGAGCTCAGATGAACGGGTTTACTTCGGGGTTTGTTTAGGGTTTAGGGTTTAGGGGTTTGTGAAGGGTTTCGGAGGGGAGTTGTGGGGTTTTGGGTTCTTGAGGGTGTAGGTTGTTAAGGCTTGTTGGGTTTACATGCCTGCAACCCTCCTGCCTAAAATCCATTGAAACGCAGCAACGCATTGTTTCGGGACGCCCTAGAACCCCAAACCCGAAAGCTCCTCACGGATTGAGCAGCTTGAGCAGCAACATCGGGGCAGAAGTGGGTTAAAACCCCTAAACCTAAACCCGCAACCTTAGAAACTTAAAAACCATAGCCCTTCCAACATTTTTTTAGCTGAAGGTATCTGGGTCTGGGACTGATCTAAATATTGTGCCCTCTTCGCGGCTACAATAGATCAACAGATGAGATAAGTCTGATAATGGAGAATGCTTTGCAGACGTGCGACTTGTCCGACAAGAAAAATAAGTTTCCAGCGGAATGATCTCAACAAGACAAACCCTGAACCCGAAACCTAAACCCTAACACTCAGTCCGCGCCATCTCAAGCAGGCATCTCGTGAAGTAGACCACTCAAAAAAGTCTTTGCGACCGCACCCCACAGCCTGAACCCGAATTCCTCCGCGCAAGCTTCAGCTTTAAAAGCACTTCTATCAGGCTTGCCACACGTGGCCTCCCATGGCCTCACGCGTTTGCAACGCCTGTGCGCAGCCAGCCACGAAGATCTGCAGTCGGTGTAGATGCCGGCACTACTGTAGTGAGAGATGCCAACGCGAGGACTGGCGCAGCCACAAGCAGTACTGCAGGAAGCCCCCAAGCAAATCGGAAGAGATCGAGGCTTTGAAGCATCTGTGGTTTGGGCCAGGCGCGGCAACTGCTGAAAGCCGAGATTCCTGGCAGCGATTCTTGCAGCATGCAGGTGGTTCATGTGAACCATCCGATATCACCAAGGTGGACGTTCAAAAGCTGGAGAAGATAGTCATGGATGAAATCAAAGCCAGGATGCCAGCCGATCTAGAACCAGATCCGGTGGGCTACCCCATTCATGTTGTGAAGCAGTTGCGCGTGCTGCCCTCGTTGCCCTTGATGGATGATGAGTTTGTCATGTCCTTCTCCACCTTCGGTCACATGGATCACCGTGGCCACCTGCTCTATTGCATCATGTGCATGTCCAACCGGACGGAGCAGGTACGTGCTGTGAGTACCTGCTCTGGGGCTCCGACAGCCACCGAGTGCCAATCAGTTTTGTTCACCGCCATGATCAAGCCGATGCCCCTCACGGGTGACCCCATGCGCCCAAGCCAGGTGCTCTTGGCCAACCGCTGGGGCCCTGACACCTATGAGACCTTGCGGCCCTTCCTGATTGAGCATGGCGTCGGCATCCGGCTCGAGTCCGAGGCTGAGGCCAAGTTGTCAGCAGCCATGCAGGACGTCGACTCGAACGGTTTCAACGTGTGAGATTTTGCGCCCGGGGCAGGCGCAAAAGCTTCGAGCTCCAACTCATGTCGCAAGGTAGCGCTTACCCCTCCCTCTAGTAACTGCCCCTTCCCGCCCCCCCCCCCCGTGTGCAGCTTAAATAGGGTCTATTTGGAAGCTGGGAATCGTATTTACAAGAGGAAAACAGGCCCCAAAACGTATACTTATTCACAAGAGCCATGTTCCAAATAGACCCTATTTTAGGTCCTGTAGGGTTGCACAGACAGAATTTAATTCATTAAATTCCTTAATTTCCACTTTCCCCCTGGAATTTAATGAATTTAATCAATTAATTCAATTAATTCATTTATTTCCAAAGGGGGGGGGTGGAATTAATTGAATTAGTTGAATTAATTGAATTAATTGAATTAATTGAATTAATTGAACCCCCCCCTTTGGAAATAAATGAATTAATTGAATTAATTGAATTAATTGGAATTAATTCAATTAATTCAATTAATTCCACCTCCCCTTTGGAAATAAATGAATTAATTGAATTAATTGAATTAGTTGAATTATTTCGATTAATTCAATTAATTCAATTAATTCATTTATTTCCAAATGGGGGGGATTCCCCAGCCCCCACCCCTCCCCCCCCTTTGGAAATAAATGAATTAATTGAATTAATTGAATTAATTGAATTAATTCAATTAATTCAATTAATTCAATTAATTCATTTATTTCCAAAGGGGGGGTGGAATTAATTGAATTAATTTAATTAATTGAATTACTTCAATTGATTCAATTAATTCAATTAATTCAATTAATTCATTTATTTCCAAATGGGGGGGATTCCCCAGACCCCACCCCCCCAGCTCGATTTGGCCAAATTTTGCCCGGAGGCTGCCCGGCAAAATTTGGCCAAATCGAGCCGCGCCTTTCTGGAGGCCCGAAATTATTTAAACTATCGCGGCTCGATTTGGCCAAATTTGCCGGGCAGCCTCCGGGCAAAATTTGGCCAAATCGAGCCACGCATTTCTCATCGCATACGAAGGGCAGCCCGATTTGGCCAAATTTTGCCCGGAAGCTGCCCGGCAAAATTTGGCCAAATCGAGCCGCGATAGTTTAAAAATTTCGGGCCTTCAGAAAGGCGCGGCTCGATTTGGCCAAATTTTGCCCGGAGGCTGCCCGGCAAAATTTGGCCAAATCGAGCCGCGCATTTCTCATCGCGTTCGACGAGCAGCCCGATTTGGCCAAATTTTGCCCGCAGACTGCCCGGCAAAATCTGGCCAAATCGAGCCGCGCCTTTCTGGAGGCCCGAAATTATTTAAACTATCGCGGCTCGATTTGGCCAAATTTTGCCGGGAAGTCTGCGGGCAAAATTTGGCCAAATCGGGCTGCTCGTCGTACGCGCTGAGAAATGCGCGGCTCGATTTGGCCAAATTTTGCCGGGCAGCCTCCGGGCAAAATTTGGCCAAATCGAGCCGCGCATTTCTCATGGCATACGAAGAGCAGCCCGATTTGGCCAAATTTTGCCCGCAGGCTGCCCGGCAAAATTTGGCCAAATCGAGCCGCGATAGTTTAAATAATTTCGTTCAATTAGTTCATTCATTTCCAAATGGGGGGGATTCCCCAGCCCCCACCCCCCCCCCTTTGGAAATCAATGAATTAATTGAATTAATTGAATTAATTGAATTAATTGAATTAATTGAATTAATTGAATTAATTGAATTAATTCAATTAATTCATTTATTTCCAAAGGGGGGGTGTGGAATTAATTGAATTAATTGAATTAATTGAATTAATTGAATTAATTGAATTGATTCAATTAATTCAATGAATTCAATTAATTCAATTAATTCAATTAATTCAATTAATTCAATTAATTCAATTAATTCAATTAATTCAATTAATTCAATTAATTCAATTATTTCCAAATGGGGGGGTTCCCCAGCCCCCACCCCTCCCCCCCCTTTGTAAATAAATGAATTACTTGAATTAATTGAAATAATTGAATTAATTCAATTAATTAAATTAATTCCACCTCCCCTTTGGAAATAAATCAATTAATTGAATTACTTGAATTAATTCAATTATTTCAATTAATTCAAGTAATTCATTTATTTCCAAATGGGGGGTGGGGGCTGGGGCATCCTCCTCCCCCCAATACTAAACCACGAGCCCGGGCCTCCCCCCAATACTAAATCACGAGCCCGGGCCTCCCCCAATACTAAATTACGAGCCCGGGCCTTCCCGCAATACTAAATCACGAGCCCGGGCCTCCCCCCAATACTAAATCACGAGCCCGGGCTAAATCACGAGTCCGGGCCTCCAAATTACGAGGCCGGGCCTCCCCCCAATACTAAATCACGAGCCCGGGCAACCCCCCCAATACTAAATCACGAGCCCGGGCCTCCCGCAATACTAAATCACGAGCCCGGGCCTCCCCCAATACTAATTTACGAGCCCGGGCCTCCCGCAATACTAAATCACGAGCCCGGGCCTCCCCCCAATACTAATTTACGAGCCCGGGCCACCTCCCAATACTAAATCACGAGCCCTCCTCCCCCCAATACTAGGGCACAGTTTTTGCTCCAAAAAGTGACATCGCAAGCCCTGGTCCCTAAGATTTTGAGCTCATTTCTTGCCCCAAAGAGTAACATCGCAAGCCCTGGCCCCTAAGATTTTGGGCTCATTTCTTGCCCCAAAGAGTAACATCGCAAGCCCTGGTCCTTATTATTTGGGGCCCAGTTTTTGCTCCAAAGAGTCAAATCGCAAGCCCTGGTCCCTAAGATTTTGGACTCAGTTTTTTGCTCCAAAGCAAGCCCTGGTCCTTAAGATTTTGGGCTCATTTCTTGCCCCGAAGAGTCAAATCGCAAGCCCTGGTCCCGAAGATTTCGGGTTCAATTTTTGCTCCACAGAGTCAAACCGCAAGCCCTGGTCCCTAAGATTTGGGGCACAGTTTTGCTCCAAAGGGTCAAATCGCAGGCCCTGCTCCCTAAGATTTTGGGCTCATTTCTTGCCCAAAAGAGTGACATCGCAAGCCCTGGTCCCTAAGATCTTGGGCCCAGTTGCTCCAAAGAGGCAAATCGCAAGCCCTGGTCCCTAAGATTTTGGGCCCAGTTTTTGCTCCAAAGGGTCAAATCGCAAGCCCTGGTCCCTAAGATTTTGGGTTCACTCTTTGCTCCAAAGAGTAACATCGCAAGCCCTGGTCCCTAAGATTTGGGGCCCAGTTTTTGCTCCGAAGAGTCAAATCGCAAGCCCTGGTCCCTAAGATTTTGGGTTCAATTTTTGCTCCAAAGAGTGACATCGCAAGCTCTGGTCCCTAAGATTGGGGGCCCAGTTTTGCCTCCAAAGAGTGACATCGCAAGTCCTGGTCCCTAAGATTTTGGGTTCAATTTTTGCTCCAAAGAGTGACATCGCAAGCCCTGGTCCCTAAGATTTGGGGCCCAGTTTTTGCTCCAAAGAGTAACATCGCAAGCCCTGGTCCCTAAGATTTTGGGTTCATTTTTTGCTCCAAAGAGTGACATCGCAAGCCCTGGTCCCTAAGATTTGGGGCCCAGTTTTTGCTCCAAAGATTCAAATCGCAAGCCCTGGTCCCTAAGATTTTGGGTTCAATTTTTGCTCCAAAGAGTGACATCGCAAGCCCTGGTCCTTAAGATTTTGGGTTCGTTTTTTGCTCCAAAGAGTGACATCGCAAGCCCTGGTCCCTAAGATGTGGGGCCCAGTTTTTGCTCCAAAGAGTCAAATCGCAAGCCCTGGTCCCTAAGATTTTGGGTTCATTTTTTGCTCCAAAGAGTGACATCGCAAGCCCTGGTCCCTAAGATCTTGGGCCCAGTTTTTGCTCCAAAGAGTCAAATCGCAAGCCCTGGCCCCTAAGATTTTGGGTTCAATTTTTGCTCCAAAGAGTCAAATCGCAGGCCCTGGTCCCTAAGATTTTGCATTCATTGTTGCTCCAAAGAGTGACATTGCAAGCCCTGGTCCCTAAGATCTTGGGCCCAGTTTTTGCTCCGAAGAGTCAAATCGCAAGCCCTGGTCCCTAAGATTTTGGGTTCGATTTTTGTTCCAGGGTTTAGGGTTTAGGGTTTAGGGTTTAGGGTTTAGGGTTTAGTCCCCAAGATTTGGGGCCCAGTTTTTGCTCCAAAGAGTCAAATCGCAAGCCCTGGTCCCTAAGATTTTGGGTTCATTTTTTGCTCCAAAGAGTGACATCGCAAGCCCTTGTCCCTAAGATTTTGGGCCCAGTTTTTGGTTCAAAGAGTCAAATCGCAAGCCCTGGTCCCTAAGATTTTGGGTTCAATTTTTGCTCCAAAGAGTCAAACCGCAAGCCCTGGTCCCTAAGATTTTGGGTTCAATTTTTGCTCCAAAGAGTCAAACCGCAAGCCCTGGTCCCTAAGATTTGGGGCCCAGTTTTTGCTCCAAAGAGTCAAATCGCAAACCCTGCTCCCTAAGATTTTGGGCACAGTTTTTGCTCCAAAGAGTCAAATCGCAAGCCCTGCTCCCTAAGACTTTGGGTTCAATTTTGCTCCAAAGAGTGACATCGCAAGCCCTGGTCCCTAAGATTTGGGGCCCAGTTTTTGCGCCAAAGAGTAAAATCGCAAGCCCTGGTCCCTTAGAATTTTGGGTCGATTTTTGCTCCAAAGAGTCAAATCGCAAGCCCTGGCCCCTAAGTTGTCGGGGTCGATTTGTGCTCCACAGAGTCAAATCGCAAGCCCTGGTCCCTAAGATTTCGGGGTCGATTTGTGCTCCACGGAGTCAAATTGCAGCCCTGGTCCCTAAGATTTTGGGCCCAGTATTTGCTCCAAAAGGTGAAATCGCAAGCCCCGGTCTTTAAGATTTTGGGCTCATTTCTTGCTCCAAAGAGTAACATCGCAAGCCCTGGACTAAGATTTTGGAATCGATTTTTGCTCCAAAGAGTCAGATCGCAAGCCCTGGTCCTAAAATGTTGGGCTCAATTTTTGCTTTTCCCTTCTCTTCTGCTTCCTTTTAACTGATAAAACACAAGAAAGGAACTCATATGATAAAGCAGTGGAAAGGTAAGCAGA